TCCACCAATCATGGCTTTTTTTGTATTCTACTGACTTGTGAGCAGAGGCATTAACAACTTTTTTTGTGGATGATCTTTTCAAGGATGTTCATACAGCAAACAGCCTTGGAAGATAGAGATAGTATCTCTTCCTGGAGCAGAGAGATTTGTTTGCTGTACAGTATAATAAAGATAACATCATCTTCCTGGACAAAGGTTTGGGCAGGTTTTCTTGTAGTCTCTTTAACATATTGGTGTTTCTAAAAATTCAGAATCCTCAGCTGTGATTCATGCCCACTGCATGTGCAGCATTCACTTGTGCTGTTTTGTGTTGTCCCTGTGGGCCCTGAAGGACAAGGTAAAAACAGTGTGAATGTGAAGATCATGCTGCCTGCTATGCTGAGAGTAGTGACATCATTTGCCTCTGACCCAGGAGGCTTTTGTTTTCTGCTAGCATGAGTGGAGCTGTGAACATTTAACTTGTAAGCTTGCAAGTAGAGTAAAATCTCAGGTGCTCAATTCTGTGATTTTCCAGTGCTACAATACCATGTATGGAACTTGGGAATCTTTATGAGTCTGCCTCTGATTCTGTCTTCCTCGATACCTCATGCAGCTGTTCTAATTCTGGTCTTACTGCCTTCTCAGTGTAGAACTAGAAGACTGGGATGGATGCTGCTACTCTGGGACCCACAATTTCTCTATTTTCTTTCCCCAGCTTGGGAATATCTCTTTTAAATATGAGCAAAATCCTGCTCCTTTCATGTTTCTTCAAGCTGATCCTTCTACTTCCATAAATATTCTGAAGATTTAGGTTTTGCAAAACAAAAGCCAAAATGTCTTCCAGTACTTTTCTGCTCCCAAACCTACCACTTAGCTCTTCTGAGAGAAGTGTAAAACAAGAAGGGGAAATACAGATGGAAGCCCACACAGGGCCCAAGCTTGATATGTCCCTGAATGGTTAGAACTGTCAGGTCTCTTCCCAGAAGAGCTGAGTTCTCTGAGAATTAGACCAAGTGAGGAGCAGGAAGAGGGTGAAAGGCACTGTTTTTCTGAGAAAACAAAAGATGGAATGAGGAATGGATGATAGACTGACATTTAGGTTCATTTGGCAGACTGCGGAGGGGAAGGATGGGGACAGCATTCACTGGGTTTGAGCAGTGTGGGATGAGGAAAGTTAAAGAGAAGAATTACCAGTCTTTCATTTGCTCCTTGGGGAAGTGACCTTTGACCCCAATCCAGGAAGAAAATAGCAGAGGGAGGCCATACCTATGTCAGCTAGAGCTGGAAAAACAAGTGTGTAAATAAGAGTTGGGAGGAGTATGTTAAAGGGCTTATAATTATGTCATTTTTATGTCTCCTAACTGGTCCCGTGACTTCCTTGAAGGAATTATCCTGTTTGACATTAGGCTTCAAAAAATAAGCTAATGTTTTCCCTGTTATACTTCAAATGGAGACATTTAGTAAATTCACTAAATTTAGACATGTAGTGAAGAATTTTTTTGGTTTATGTTTTGAGAAGAGTTATCATTTCAGTATTGTGACAGTTAAAACAAACACTTAATTCATCCTGAGCTATTTAACATGAGTCTCAATTTCTAAATTGTCCTTGTGGCTGTTGGAAGATCATTTTCCCTTAGGGATTCCTGCATATGGAGTGATCAGATTTCACTATCTTTAGATATATCCACCTCTGTCCACCAACCCATGGGCAGAAAATTGGCCTCCTTAATTGAGCTTGCCTATAGAGAAAGGAAAGGGCTAATAACTGATATATGATTAAGAAGGTAAAATGAAAATTCTTCATGAGTCTAATCTAAATGTCTCCTTTTGACTAAAATATTTGATTGCTTCTCATCTTTCTGATAGATTATGGGAATATTTTCCAGGTTTGACGAATGTCTAGTTAGTCTTTTCTCAATATGGGTCATTGAGCAGAAAGAAGATATAATTAAAATCATAATTTTATTTTGGTTCTTGTCATTAATATAACTCTTCCTAGTGGTCCCAAGCTTCTTGCTTCCTATCCTTCTTCTCTGAGTGCTGAGTCTCCTGCTTTGTCCAGGTCCATGGTTCATATCTCTGTTGTAGCATAATTCTCATGCATTTTTATGGCAACAAAATATTTCTCTCCTGGCTCTCTTAACAAATCCTGTTCCTCAATAGGAATGCAGAAGGGAAGAAATGTAGCAGGTAACTGGGGAAGAAAAAATCCTGTTTGCCTCTCTGGAATATCTGGATTTTGTATATTTCCTGCTGAGTCATATCCAGACAACCTAATGGAAAACCAAGTGCTGGCAGGCAGGAGAGGCTGTGGCAGGGGCAGAAACAAGAGGAAAGGGATTTGGTTCTTAGGGGCTGTATTAGTCCACTAGGGCTGCCATAACAAAAATGCCACAGACTGGGAGGCTTAAACAATAGAAATTTATTTCTTCATGGTTCTAGAGGCTGGAATTCCAAGCTCAAGATGTCAGCAGGGTTGATTTTATTTTGGGACCTCTCTCCTTGGCTTGTAGATGGCTATCTTCTTCCTCTGTCTTTAGTGCACCCACATTTTCTCTTTCTGTGCCCTAATCTCTCCTCTTATAAGAACATCAGTCATATCAGATTAGGACACACCATGTGACCTCATTTTGTCTTAATTACCTATTAAAAGGCTCTATCTCCAAATATAGTCATATATAGAGGGTCTGGGAGTTAGAACCTCAATATGTAATTTTGAAGAATACAATTCAGTACATAACAGAGGTCTGGGTAGGGGGATTGGCGGAGGATACAGAGCTGGGAAAGTCATGCAGCTTCCTTTGTTGGTTGGTTGGAGAAGAAAAATTCACCTGTCTGGGACCTAGGATGTTTTATAACCTTAAGTTTTATAGTCTCAGCCCTTCTGCGAGTACAACTTTAAGAGCTTGGGGTTACACATATATTACATATACCTTAAAAAAATATTTGTGAAAGAAAGGTGGAGAGAAGTAAGTATATATCCATCAGAATAGCACCTCCTTAGAAGGAAAAGGGCTGAGCTGATAGATCAGGTAGGATGATTTGGAGTGAATTTTTTTCTTATAGTGCTAAAAAGATATTTATCTTTTTCTCTACTGTCCTTTAAAATAGAGATTACTAGAGAGCATAGTTATATTTTGGAGGCGAGGAGAATTGATATTTCAATTGTTTTTTTTTTTAAAGATTTATTTATTTTAGAGAGAGGGAGAGAGTGAGTGGGGGGGAGGGGCAGAGGGAGAGGGAGACTCTCAAGCATACTCTGTGCTGGGCAGGGCTTGATCTCACGACCCTGAGATCATGACCTGAGCCTAAATCAAGAGTCCAATTCTCAACCAACTGAGCCACCCAGGTGCCCTGATATTTCAATTGTTTTGAAGTAGTAGTTCTTCTTACCTCTAGAGAGTCTTGGTTAATTTCCATGGGAACCCCTGGCACTGGTATTTTATTTTATTTTATTTTAATTTTTTTTAGAATTGTTTTTCACTTTATTTGTTTTATTTATTTATTATTATGTTCAGTTAACCACTGTATAGTACATCATTAGTTTTTGATGTACTGTTCAACGATTCATCAGTTACACTTAACACCCAGTGCTCATCACAACATGTGCCCTCCTTAATACCCATCACCCTGCTACCCCTTCCCCCCACCCCCTCCCCTCTGAAACCTTGTTTCCCGGGGTCCATAGTCTCTCATGGTTCATCTCCCTCTCCGATTTCCCCCCCTTCAGATTTCCCTCCCTTCCCCTATGGTCCTCCGTGCTATTGCTTATGTTCCACATATGAATGAAACCATATGATAATTGTCTTTCTCTGCTTGACTTATTTCACTTAGCATAATCCCTTACAGTTCCATCCATGTCGATGCAAATGGTGGGTATTCATCCTTTCTGATGGCTGAATAATATTCCATTGTATATATGTACCACATCTTCTTTATCCATTCATCTGTTGAAGGGCATCTCGGCTCCTTCCACAGTTTGGCTTCCATGGTCATTGCTGCTATGAACATTGGGATGCATGTGCCTCTTCTTTTCACTACATCTGTGTCTTTGGGGTAAATACCCAGTAGTGCAACTGCTGGGTCATAGGGTAGCTCAATTTTTAACATCTTGAGGAACCTCCATACTGTTTTCCAGAGTGGCTATACCAGCTTGCATTCCCACCAACAGTGTAAGAGGGTTTCCCTTTCTCTACATCCTCGCCAACATTTGTTGTTTTCTGTTTTGTTAATTTTAGCCATTCTAACTGGTGTAAGGTGGTATCTCATTGTGGTTTTGATTTGTATTTCCCTGATGGCTAGTGACGTCGAGCATTTTTACATGTGTCTGTTAGCCATTTGTATATCTTCTTTGGAGAAATGTCTGTTCATGTCTTCTGCCCATTTTTTGATTGGGTTGTTTTTTGAGTGTTGAGTTTGAGAAATTCTTTATAGATCTTGGATACTAGCCCTTTATCTGATATGTCATTTGCAAATATCTTCTCCCATTCCATGGGTTGCCTCTTAGTTTTGTTGACTGTTTCCTTTGCAGTGCAGATGCTTTTTATCTTGATGAAGTCCCAATAGTTCATTTTTGTTTTTGTTTCCCTTGCCTTTGGAGATGTAGCTTGAAAGAAGTTGCTGTGGCCAATGTCGAAGAGGTTACTGCCTATGTTCTCCTCTAGGATTTGATGGACTCCTGTCTCACATTGAGGTCTTTCATCCATTTTGAGTTTATCTTTTTGTATGGTATAAGGGAATTGTCCAGTTTCATTCAACTATATGTAGCTGTCCAATTTTCCCAGCACCACTTATTGAAGAGACTGTCTTTTTTCCATTGGATGTTTTTTCCTGATTTGTCAAACATTAGTTGACCATAGAATTGAGGGTCTATTTCTGGAATCTTTATTCTGTTCCATTGATCTATGTGTCTGTTTTTGTGGCACTGGTATTTTAAAAAATATCCCCTGGCGATTCTAATGTGTAACTAGAGTGGAGGACCAACAAATTATAGCCCCTTTGATTCTCTCCTTTCATCTCAGAGAGAAGCATGAAGACTTCTAGAATCTGGAATGGTAGAAAATCCCTCCACTAGAACTCCTACAAAGAGGGAGACCCATGTATACCAAGAGAAATTCTATTCTTTCTTATCTTTGTTATATACCCAAGACCCACCTCGGACTCCAGGGACACAAATTTGGTCTTCTTCAGATTGGGTGACCAAAACGTAAAGGTAAGAATAATTGAGACTTACAAACATAAAACATGTTTTCTGTTGTTCCTATTAAACATGTAAAATGGCCCCTTTCCCACTTAGTACAGGTTTATAGACATGTTGCTGAGGTTATTTTACTCATCCTTTGGAAGTGGCCATTCTCTCCTATTCCATGTTTCCAGGCTGGCCCTGCCCTGAAGGAGGGATGGGTGTGAGCATCACCCCAGTGGTGAAGGAAGATGAGAGGAAGCTCTTGTTCCCCAAATATCATCCCTGTTTCTAGCTGGGGTGCATATTGTACACCTTCCTCCCAAAGCCTATACAGAAGCTAGAGATGTTCTGGGCCACCTGGATGCACTGAGACATTGGAGAAAACAGATCCATGAGGGCAGTGGAGTTTGTGACAAGAGCAGAAAGGGGCTGGGAGAATTTTGTTTGGGGAAAAACAGACTTGGTTTCACCAGAGGGCTCTATGATTTCTCCCCTGACAACAGCACATGGGCTTTAGTTTTAAAAGCTAGCAGGGTTCGGGTGACTTCCTTGGAGAAGTGAGCCAGGACCACAGCCCCAAATCTAAGACAAAGGACATATTGCAATCAGATATCAATTCTGAAGGAATTTAACATCTTCTCTTATTATAAATAGGTAGAACAAGATACTCACTGATATTTGTGGTGGGTGAGATGGGACAAAAGACACCTGATGATGTTTTCCTTCACCTTTTCTGTAAAATAGGAACTTGCTTAATGCAGAGAGCCAAACAAGCTTCTTTTGGGATCCGTTTTTTTTTTTTTTTTTTGCTTTTGCACCCATTTTCTTTCCTCTCTAGTGTTTTTCAAGACTGATATGTCCTTTAAAATTTGTTTAGTTTGAAAGGTAGTTGTTTATAATTCCAGGAATAAATTTGCACTTTGAAATGAAAAGGCCTGGTGTGTTGATCATGACATATCCCTGATGATTTACACCTGAGGTTCTGCAGCGCTCATCACAGCACAGCCTGGAGCAGGAGAAACCTCTCATTCAGCAAAGAAGGGAATTTTGTACCACGGGGGTCCTGTCCGTGAGATGTCCCCCTCTGGAGGGACAGAGAATTAGAGAACTGGGATCCTTGAGAGAGTTTGAGTATGAAATGGTGATTACATGTATGTAACTTTGAAATTTTAAAACATTCTATAAGAATCCAACTCCCATTTAAAATGTTTGAAATGGTCCCTTTATCTATGAATATGGATGTTAGGATGTTTTCCAGGTAAATTTGTTGCTTATTCTGGGTTTGCAGTTATCTCCTATTCCTGTTATCTCTGCCTAAAATGTTCTTGGGGCTCAGATTACCTAGTAGGGGCCTGGATAGTAATATTTCCCCCTTTCAGGGACCAGCCCAGAGATTTTTTCCTCCAGGTTTATGGGTAGGGAAAGTGCAGTGAAGTTGTACTGATGCTGCCTGTCCTCTTAATCTAGAGAAGTAATTAATCTATTTTTTATATGGCCATTTTGACAAAGCTGTCATAACCCTCAGGACATTTTAATTTGGCCTAAGGCCAAACCATTTTTTTAGACATTTTTCACCCTGTCCTTCTATCCTATCCAAATCCTAGGCCTTCATGCTATTTTCTATCACCTCCATAGTTTTCATGAAGAAAAGTTTGTGTATAATACTGCTTAATTAATTAATTAATTAATTAATTTTTTAAAAAAGATTTTATCTATTTATCTGACAGAGAAAGACACAGTGAGAGAGGGAACACAAGCAGGGGGAGTGGGAGAGGGAGAAGTAAGCTTCCCACTGAGCAGGGAACCTGATGCGGGTTCGATCCCAGGACACTGGGATCGTGACCCGAGCCGAAGGCAGATGCTTAACGACTGAGCCACCCAGGTGACCAATACTGCTTAATTTAAAAAAAGAAGTGTTGTAACATTTTGACTTGCCTAGTTGGGTCATACCAAGTTATCTGCATTAAATATTTTGTTTCCATACTTGCTACAAACTTCAGTCCCTAGGGTTTGTGCAAGGATACCAGCCAGACTTCTCTAAGGACTGTTACCAGAGTTGGAGTCTGTCTGAGATGGTTGGCAACAGCTGGATCAACAGAGCTGGGTCCAGAGCTCTTAGAGAAGAAGAGAAATGTCAGGAGCAAGAAGTGGATGAGGGAAATCTCAGTTTTGTAGAGACCAAGAATGGCATTTGTCAGTGATGGTGGTGGGAGGGTGGGGTGATGATAAGAGGAGTTTGGACCATTTCTTTTCTCCCTCCTCATCATTCCTATGGATTTTGGTGTAAATGATGCATAGTACAGGAAAGAAAGCATCTCCTACTTTCTCCTTAGAGAATCACTTCTGATCTTGGACAGAAAAGGGTCCACAAGAAGTAGACCATTCATAGATTGCATTTATGTTCTGGATCTGTTTTTGAAAGACATGCATAGTATTGTAAACCTTCTCTTGCTGTTTCTGGGAAGAAGCAGGGAAGAAAAGGTGGAAGGGGATCTCCCTTTGCTCCAACTGGTAAAAAGTCCTAAAAGAGTGGAGGCTAGGCTACTGAGTGTGACAGTTTGACCTAAAAAATTTAGGGCTTTTTTTTTCCTTGTTTGTTTTTCAAATTAGGACAGTATATGAGTAAAGACAGATAAGCAGAAGTGCCTTTGGTTTTCACTGGGAAGAAATTTGTTATTTCAAATGTTCTGTAATGAAAAGCCCAAGTTAACTCTCCTTATACTATTTGTCCTGATTCTTCTCTTTCCAGACTTCCAGAACAAAGAGTATAGTTTTGAACCTTTCACCACTAGCTATGGAAGAGAATCCTCCCTCAGGGACATCATTCCTGAGGGAAGGAAAATGAGTGACAGACAAAAGCTTCTGAGCCCAGATGTAAATCCCATCTGTGACATATCCAAGCCTAACCCCTGACCCTTGGGTAGAAAAATGGGCTTTTAATAGAGCGCACACACAGAATAATGAAAAGACTAATATAAGTTCAAGATTAATGAAAGAAAGTAAAAATTTAGCAGGAGCCACCCTAAGTTCTTCCCATTGCCCAAAACATTTGAAATGAGCTTTTCCTTGTCTTGAAGAGTGGAAGGAATATAACACCTTGTCTTTATGGATCACAGACAAGAGCTTTCAGATTATAAAACAGTAATTTGCAGTCAGTATTTACCTCAATATATTTGTCTACAATGTTTCTTTTACCCTTCTCCTTCCTACCCATCCCCAAAATGAGAGCAGCAAGACTCCCCCCAACCTTGCAGGGATTCCAACTTGGGTGTGGTTTAATCTTAGATCAGTGGTGTATGCACAAAGGAACATCAAGGCCAAGAATCAAGTGTGCTCTAGTCCTTTATTCTGAATTGTCATAGCGAGATATAGCTTTTCTTTAAAACAACACTTATGGCTTATAAAACTAAAGAACTAATACATGTGCAATAACAGCAACAAGACCATTTGAAAGATAGAGGGCTCAAAGAAAAACTCTGTCCAGGGAAATCTTTCTAAGAGCTCATCCTGGATCTAGGGCTGTGTTACAACCCCAGGTGTCTACAGCAGGTATAGAGGAGAGTGTGGAGGCAGAAGCAGCAGTGGAAGAGAGGCATACTGGGATGTGTAGGAGAGACCCTAGGGTTTTTCTTTTGTGAGAGTAGAGAACATGGAATTTCATTTCCGTGGTCTAGGAAGAGTTGTGGCATAGGGAAGAAAAGGGAATATATTCTATGTCTCACTTTACTTCTATCTTGGCAGAATAGCAAGGATTTTAGCCTGAGCAAAAGGTCAGTAGCACACCAGGTTTGTTTGTTTGTTTGTTTCTTTCTTTCTTTTAAGGATTTATTTATTTATTTGAGAGAGAGGGGGTGGGGGAGGGCAGAAAAAGAAAGAGATTCCCAAGCAGACTCCCTGCTGAGCATGGAGCCCAAAGCAGGGCTCTATCTCATGACTCCAAGATCATGACCTGAGCTGAAGTCATGACTCCAACGCCCAACTGATTGAGCACCCAGGCACCCCAGCAGCACACCAGGTTTCTGAAGGTTAAATTCATGTGGAATATTGGACCGGACTTGGTTCTGGACAACCAATAAGTATATAAATCCCTTGAGGATATAAACTTATTTCTGAAATTATTATATATATGAATAATAATATAAAAAATATTTTAACCTAAAAGTGCAACATACGCATTTCTTTCTTTCTATTATTTTTCTAAAGTGAAAGCCTTGTGTGTGTGTGTGTGTGTGTGTGTAAATCCATCCATAAATAGAAGAAATGTTTTACCAATGAGATATTTAGTAATGTCCAAGTTAACTCTTCATGTACTTTTCCATGTAACTTTCCTTTAGTTTCTCTATTCCAGATCTGTGGGATGCCTCATGGTTACATAGAAATCCTTTCACTATAGTTTCTGCTTCCCATCCTCAGAATGATTCCCTGAAGGCTTTCTCCATAATGGACCAAGCCTGACCTCTGCCCTGTGAACAGAAAATTATACTCCTTGATGTGATCTCTGCATACATTATTCATTGGGCAACCCTAAACCTTAAATATTCTCTGTGTAAGAGCCCCACTTACATCCCTTCTTACGTCTAGTGTATATTTTAAATAGTTTCTTAATCTTCATTGTATTTTGTTTTCTTTTGCAATTACGCTGTTCTAAGTGATCTGATTCTAGTGGTCTCAAGCCTTAAGTCTCACAATCCTCAGGGTCTGATGAGTTGGTCTTTATTTTCCCAGTTCCCTGGGATATGCATAATGAATTTTAGGGATAGAGAAGAAAAAGAGTTGATGTCTATGTTAGTTTTTTCCTTTAGTCTCAAACTCCAGAATCTATAAAAAGAGCCCAAGAAGCAAGTTCTGCACAGTCACTTCTAAGAATACTAGGATTAAAAAGCAGGTGCAATAAGTTTGTATGAAGAAAGGGATGAATGAGAGGAGGAAGTATTAAGGAGAATTTCAAGGCAGGAAGGGAGCAATGTATTCCAGATTGGGGAGGGGTATGGGGAGATGGGAATCCTCTCCAATGTACCTTGCTTTTG